TGAGCCGTCCCTCACCACCACCCCCCCCCCCCCCCCCATAGTTTTTGAAGGCAGCCTGTAGTCGATGGATCTGCTGGGTGCCAGCCATATCTGGATTTGCAAATGCATTTAATGCACACAATGGGGGACATTTTTGAAAATCAGGAGCAGCTGTGCATGACAACCAATCGGTTTCTCTTTTTCATTTTCAAATCTTAACTGAACCAACTGAAGAGAGAAGCTGATTGGTTGATTTTTAAATATCTGTTTGAAGTTCACCTTTTAACATGTGGACACCACGAGACCATTGCAGATCATTGTAGAGATGGCTATAATTAACATTTTCTTCTTTTTAATGGTTACAATGCCATTGGCACAGACTGTTCATATTAAATTGATTAATTAACACATTGTGTTGACATTTGTAGAGGCAGCAGTCCTTACCAGAACACAGGAAGAAAGAGCTCCTTGGGAGACTGATAGTGGAGATTGTGGAGTTTATGTCTCCGAAGACACCAAAACCTGGAGAGCTTGGAGGCAGAATAACAGGATCTGTAGCCTGGAGGGTGGCGCGAGGAGAAGTTGGTGTGCAGGTACCTGTTAATTCTTTTCATTTTAATTCATTTTAATTATTGCCCACTTAAGCTGACTATATACAGGTAAATGCCTGCCTGTGGCATGGTGAAAGGTGAGATACCTTGCATGGGGTCGTGCTGCTGTCATGTGACTCGCGATTGACTGAGTGAGGAAGAGGGGAGAATGGGCCAGGCCATTCAGAGTTAGAAGAGATTTGCAGGCAAAAATGATTACTTGCAACGTCAGAAGCTATTCCTGGCTCCAAAGTGTCGACTAACAACCGAATCCTCACGGGCGTGTTGGATTGCGAGAAGAATTGAGCTGTTTATGGGCAGAGAAGCACATCTCTGCAAAAATAGAAGGGATTTTCACACCAATAATATGCACCAATAATGGCAAAATATTCTTTGTGAACATGTGGCAAAGTTGAGGACATTCAAATATTTACATACTAGTAGCAAGCTTTCTAACAGGATACTTGTAGCTGCAGGCCCTGTGAGAAATGCATGCTTAAAGCAGAAACATTTAAATTAAATTATGCTCTCAGCTAATTAGCTAATTGTGATTCCCCATCACAGAGTACCTGCTGTGTGTTTTATATTATAAATTGGAAGGCTCATCAGTCACTAATGGGAGGGGGAATTCGGGGTTAGATGAGCTGAGTGAAGTACTTTAGCATCTCTGCCATTAAAGGAGAACTATGAGGTGAGTGCTTTTCATTCACCTCATAGTTCTAGCCGACCTGTGACAATGAGACTGTCAGATGTCAGTTTAGTGGATCGGGAGGTTGAGCTAACACATACCGGAATTCGCTCACCTCTCGATCCTGTCACGGCTCTCTGGCGTGACAGGGGAGGGGCTGGATTCCCCCCTCCCCGCTCCGATCCGCCAACGCTGACTGGCGGAACGGGAGGGGGCGGGTACAGCTGGCTCTGCCTCTAGATAGGCAGAGCCAGCTGTCAGTCACGCAGCTGGCCGGATCCAGACATAATTGTCGGGATCCGCTCCAGGTGCGGCGTCTCAGTATACCGTGAGCTGCAGCTCGCGGTATACTGAGCTTAGGGTGACGGGAGGACGCTAGTTTGTGTCCTCCCATTACCCTAAGGAGAACTATGGGGAAAAGCCTTAACCCCATAGTTCTTTTAACTTTAAGGCTGAATTGCTCACCAGTGCCTGCAGCTACATATGTCAGTGAATGCTTGTTCTAAAGCTCATTTACACCCTGATGAGAATATGGAAATACTTGAATGTCTTTAGCCTGGGTACAGGTTCACTTTCAAGCAAACTTGTATTTTCACAGTGCAGGAAGCGCAGCAATAGAGCAGGTTTACTTTAATGCTACATCCCCTTTCTATCCCACCAGCACAAACTCACCTTTTCTTTACTACCCATGCTATAATGTTGGTGCTTTGTGATTTGGTCCCATAAGTCACGTTCCTGGAGCAAATAGTCCTTAAATTTAAAAAAACAAATTTAAAAATCAGAAAATGAAAGCTATATAAACCTAGCCGTACACTTTTTTAAAATGTCATCCAATTAACGGGTATTGGCTGCAATTCTAACAGTGGGTGGCCTGCTGGTACCACGCAGCTTGACAATTTTGATTGAAAAATTGAAGGACCGGGTGGAATTTTGTCGGCCAAACTTTTCCTGCATTCTGACAGCCGACATCCACGGAGCAGTGAGGGAGCGGAAGGCAGTTAATGTGCTGCAGGGCAGAAGGATTAAAGTGAACCTACTTGAACAAAGCATAGCCAGATAAAGCTAGCCATACAGTCACCGCTGGAGGAACTGAGAGGGAAGGGGAGAATGCCTGTGGGAAGTAATGACCGACAGTCACCGCTCTCTGCAGGGAGAAGATCGTGAACTGAGCAGTCAGCGGTTTGTGATCGATCGGCTCTTGATGTTAAGAGCGGACATGTGACAGCTGCAGTGTCACACGTCTGCTCTAACTATGGGGATGTGTGCATTTCACTCTCCTCATATTTCTCTTTTTAAGAGCCAGTCCCATTGACAACAACTCAAGCTGTAATTGTTAAGGAGCTTTGGCTGTGTGTGTGCACCCCACCTAATAAAAAAAAAACCCCATCATTACAGCATACCTAGGCTGTCGTGCCCTATATCCAGATCAAGCATTGTATGATGACTTCTAGCTCTTGCAGATCAAGATATATAAAGTGCATTGCATTGAATTATACTAGGCCTAGCTATTGATTTAAAGATACATTTTTTACAATTGTAAGCTATACAGAAGTATAATAAGGGAATAAATGGTTTCACGGAAGCTGCAGGGTGAAAGTGTGTTATGAGTATAATCAAATTTTAGATGGACGTTGCCTGCAATTTGTAAGTTGTGAATAACTATGATTTCCTTGCCTTGTAACTAGGTCCAGAGTGTGGTGTTTGTTCCCACTGAAAAAGAAAGAGCTGCTAAACGTTTCCATTTGCAGTACGACATTGTGAATGATCAGTACACACGAGTCTCAAATGGCAGTGAAGTGATTGCTGGCTGGGAAAATGGAGCCTGGATAAATGAGTCCATGTTCAGAAAAGTAGAAAATGACTGGAAGATGGTAAGTGTTCAATGCATACACTAGAGCTGCGATTCGGTCTGTCATGATTATGAACTCTCATGGAAGACTGGCTTGTACCATTTCTTCCTAAGGACAAACATGCTAAAGCATTTCTTATAGCGATAGAAAATGTAGTCTAGGCACCTTATCTGGTCGGTGTATCTGATAGAGCTGTAGATACCCAGAGATATAAGATATATGTGATGCACAATCATTCCAGAGAACCATGGAGGTGTAAATGTGCTCATTTGCACTGGCTGAGTATTTGTGATAATTCAGGGTGCAGATATACCTCCAAGGTGGGCCCCATCTCAGGGTAAAGCTGGCCACACACACAGTAGAAATTAGTTAGAAAATATATTTGTTTTCAGAACATTTGTTTGATTTTCTAATAGTTTATGGGGCCCAATTGACCATTTTCAACCATAGTGAAGAATAAAATCCAAGGAGCAGGATGAGAATTTTTTTCTGGAAGAATGAAATTCGAACAGATAATGTGATTTTTTTTTTTTTTTTTTTTTTAGGACAAACAGAATTTCTAACAACATTTGTGAAGTCTATGATGGCATTATCGAATGTTCTGATGAGATTTTTCACATGAATATTCATATGGAAATCTTGTACAATAGCATTAGCACAGAAAAAACCATCCCAGCTGATTGATTCTTTGACCAGCGTGGTCATCTTAGGGGTGTATATACAGGTTGGATGAGTGCAGTAAACAGTGCACATAGTATCGCATGTCTGCAGTGGGTTGGATCTCGCATCACGTCACATAGGTGGGAGATGCAGATACACAGGCTGGGAGCCGGAGAGCGACGCCAGAAGAGGATTCCTATCTACTGCAGACACGCAATAATATGTGCGCTAGTTACTGTGAACATTTTAATGTGAATGTTTTAGCTTTTATATTTTACTAAAATTTGTACAACAGAATGCACCATGGATGGACGTTACTTGTTTATTACATGTGGGTGAAACTGCTTACTAACGGAAGAATAGCAGAGCGTGCCCATTGATGGGATTTGACCCTGCAGAGTGGTCAGCAAGCACCTTAAACCTGAGATTGATATCGGGTCAATATCAGAAGGTGAGAGCATATGCACAGAGGCGGAAGGGAGAATTCACTGGTGAATAGAGGTGGTGATTGCACGGAGTGTGGTCTTGATTGGATAACCCCATCATCACGTATTGGTGTGTGCATTCATGCCAAGATAAAGGTGTACAGGACAACTGGTTTAGCTAGAATTTGTATGGTGCAGCACTTAATATCAATGTATTGTTTATTATTGATGTATGGTTTATTCCGGTCATCTCGCATTAACAAGAATATTGGAGAAAGAAAGAACATCTGTTTGACTTCCTTGTATATCGTTACTATACTAAACCATTGGTTGCCCTTGTTGAGCACTCCCCACAGATATCTTTTACTGCATAGAATGAAGACTATTCAGATGATATGTAAATACAGTAAACTCTCTGTTATCTGGTATTCAACTAACCAGAAAAAAAATCCTCTGTGTACTCACTGTTCTGCTGATCTGCGGCATGTATTATCCTGGAAACGATCATGTGTCTATTTGTCTTTAATTTGCTTTTGATTACTGCATTTCAATATTATGACGTCTTTACAGAGTTTGGCATGGTATGGTATAGTATGGGGTATGGATTAGTTAGACCTCTTTTTAATAGTAACTCTCAAGCAACCAGAAACTACTTTTATGCAGAATCTAAGAATCCCCATAAATGTCTGATAACGGGGAGTTTACTGTACTACCTAATGTTTTGTCTTAAATATGCCAGAAACTCATAGCGGTAATTAAATTCCTTTTCTTTTTTGCGTCAAAAACAAGGCAAGCACAGAAAAATGCCTGTTGATGCTGTTAGAAATCCAGTGTGTTCAAGAATTCCTGTAGTGAGCTGACACTACCTCTGCTGCATTTAAATCCCAAGCAGTGTTATCGGTTCTGCTTCACTTTCCTGATGGACCAAGGAACAATCCTTTGAAAAAGAGTGTGGGGTGTTTTGTAGTCCAGCAGGAAAGAAGTGGGCAGGGCTGGCAACACTGCTTGGCATGTGGGATCTTAGCTGATACAGTGACCGGGAACCACAATGATCAATCATCAGGATGAACAGAGCTGTCAATGACAGCCAGGTTTGACAGCTAAAAAAGCATGCACAGTGTCAGCTGATGGAATTGATAAGAATGACATAGAATAACATATTCTTATCATGGGGCATCATGCAGAGGAACAGTAATCTACAGATTGGAAGGCGGTAAAGTATGTTTCTTCTTTGACCAGGGATTTCAGTCGGTCTTGTATAGTCCCTCATGTTAGGGAGAAATCTGTGTCTGGTGCACCAGTCTGCTCTAAATTATGTCGGGATACATATTGAAGGATATTGTCTGTTGATGTAAACGTGTTTAATCATAGAGCTGTTGTATTTATAATTCTGTATGTTTTTCAGGTATATTTAGCTCGCAGGGAAGGTACTTCATCAGCCAAAATCGGTTGGAAGGTTGAGTGTGCATCAGCTGGACTTAAAGTGGAGAGTATCAGTGTCCGAACAAGCAGCGAGACTTTCCATAGTGGTACAATAAAGTGGAAGCTGCATTCTACAGAAACACAAGTGGATGTTAATCCTGGTAACTTTCCTCTATGATTCTGTTATGTAGAAAAGCCAGATTATGAGATGGGTAGAGTTAGGTGACTAAATCTAGTATACAATGATGCTATCGATCTTGGAGATGCAATAAGGGGATGTAACAAAACATACAGGGGGGATTTATCAAAACTGGAGCAGTTGCCTATGGCAACCAGTCAGCATCTCTCTTCAGTTTGCTTAGCTAAGATTTGAAAATGAGAGAGAGAAGCTGATTGGTTGCAGTGCAAATCTGTTTCAGACTTTGTCTACTCT